ACGGTTATTGCACAATCTGTTCTCTTTGCCGCCGGTTTCTCTCTGCCTGTCTACTTGTACTGGTGTTTGTGTGCCTGCAGTGGCGCGACCCGCCACATTAAGGCCCCGTGTTGCTGTTGAGCGCAGGACATTTGCTGGTTTGTGCTGTGTTGCACGTTTCGCTGCGAGTTGGCGACATTGTTGTATCTTCTCGGCTCGCAGCTGCTTTTGCCTTTCGGCGTTTTCGGTTTCAACCTGGGCGGCTCGATGGGCGGCCCCTACCTGAAACATGGAAGTACGGTAGTCCTGACATTTTTTGGCCACAACATGCTCTCGCCATGTATCTAACTCTTGCTGTTTCACTTGTTCCAGGGCTCTTAATTGACGCGATTGTTCCGTCGCCACTTCTTGGCGTATGTGGCGAGCCAAAGTGTTGGATTTCTCGCGTACCTTTCAATTTCGTAATATTATAGTGTAAATACAAAGAAGAAACGTAACTGCGTCTTACCTGTTGTAAACGAGTTATGCGACGCTCGTTTTCGAGATCTTTTTTAACGCGTTCGGGGTCAGCAAATCTATACCGTTGCTTACAATTTGTATCAAGTTTACCGCTTACTGTCATCTGCATAGTCATTGTCAAATAAAATTTCTACTAAATACTTGAAACATTTACTAACACTTAACAAAAACACTTTTTGACTATAAAATCAAAAGTCAACGTACAAAATTCCACAAGCGAACAAACAGAAGCGCAAGCGCAGATACAGTGATGTATTTATAACTCTATCGATAGTGCAGCTATAAATATATCGACGTATCATCGATAAATTAAAGAAAACCCAGCTGTTGTCACTTTTGTTTTGGTTACGAGATTGTAGACATTTAAGTTGCTTGATATTTGGGAATCGCATTACTAAAATGGCTTTCATGTTGCGTCAGGTATCGAAACCTGTTCTGCTAAGGTAGGAATAGTGATCAGGAAACTATAAGACAATAATTAGTTGATGGATTTACTTCCAGAACTCTACTCAATGGGAGTCCAACTTCAATGCGCCTAGCCGCTAAAGATGTAACTGCAAGCGCTCCAGCAACAAATACAACTCCACAACAACAGTTGTTGGTGAGCGAAAATTGCTTGAAACGTTTGCGCGAGATCTGTACCGATGGCAGCTTTTTGCGCATCACAGTTGAGGGCGGAGGCTGCTCTGGATTTCAGTACAAATTTGATTTGGACAGCAAGCTAAACGAAGATGATTTACAGTTTGGCGAGGACAAAGCTAAAGTGGTAATTGACACAGTGTCCCTGGACTATTGTACAGGCGCTACCGTTGATTATCATAGCGAGCTAATTCGAGCTGGATTTAGGATGATTGCCAATCCGCTCGCAGAACAAGGCTGCTCATGTGGTTCATCCTTCTCGATTAAATTGTAGTTAATAGTTAAATAATGTACATTGATTGTTAAACTTTAGTGAAATATTTAAACACACAGATATAAATTTATTTAATCAGCTATATACACACTGCATCGATTGTAAATTTAAAAAAATATGGTATTGTTGCCGCAGAGCAGTTAGTTGGTTTTTGGGTATTTGGCTTACTTATTAGGTAAGTCGTCGACCTATCGAAATGAATTGCTTTTCAAAGGCTTTATCTTAATGTCAAGTTTATCAACTTATCAACTCCGTCTCTGTTAATTCCTGATTGTATGAAAGGTTCGTTTATGCAATAACCAATCAGCTTACAAACAGGGCAGAGCTTAGAACGCAGCCCGTGTATAGGCATTTGGACAGTGGCCGGGCCCTTTTCTATAATTTGTAATATAAAGCAAAGCGACAGGCCGAAATTCATTTGCACGCAGCCAACTGTTCGCTTAAGCTTATCACTTGCTCTGTCAGTACGCTGATCTGCTCCTCGTAGTTATATCGAGTCGTGGACTGTAAGAATAGAGTCAGTTATTAGAATTTCTTTATTACATGTAATTGTATTTGGATTACCAACTCCTCCTCGAGCATTTGCAGGGCACTTCCCACGCTGGACAGTTGATCGTCCTTGGCTTTCAGTTCTTGCGTGGCATTTTCTAGGCAGATCTGCAAATGCAATATTTCCTGCTCAAATGACCGTACACGCGACTCGGCCAGCGCTTTGAGACGTAGTAGTTCTTCATATTTTTTGCTAAATGCGCTATATATAAGCTGCTCTTTGGTGGGCGGCTCGTGCGGTTCCTGCAGCGAATCACGCGCGCGCTGGCCGCTCTTGTTCTCCAGGCAGCATGGCTTAACGGTGATGCCAGCTGCAGCCGTACTACAGCTGCAAATACTGCTGGCATCCATCAACGTTTTGCTGAGATCCACATTTGTGTTCGAGTTGGAGTTCGAGCTCGTGTTTAAGCTCTGGTTAAGTTTTGACACCTCGTACTGGGCTCGCCAATGGGCCGACTCCTTTTCGAGTAGCGCGATGCGTTCTTCGGCAGTTAGTGTTAAGGCTATATTGGTGTTAAGCTGGTGCTGCTGTTGATTGTGGAGCGGCGTGCTGTCGCTGCCAGTGGCGCTCAAAGCATCCTCACTGCCAAGCTGTAGGCATAAGTAGGAGGTTAATATTTCATTAGGAAGTTCTTTGTTAAGCACTTGCCATGCTCGCGGCATCGACCAGTTTTGTTTCGAGTTCACAGTTTCTCAGCTGCAGCGCTTCCATTTCTTTGCGCAACCGCTTTTCCAGTTCATTCTGGTCGCCAATTCGTTTTTCTAGCTTCTGTTCCAGCTCCGATATGCGTTCCGTGTGCAGCAACAAGTCGCGTTGCTTGTCATCTATCTACGGGTGAGAATTTGTTCTATCATGAGTATTCGTGTATGGTGTATGTATTGTATTTGGAATTATGCTGCTCCCATTTACCAATGACGTCAGCTGTGCGTTTTCCATTATTTTCTTTTGAAGCTCCTCGAAGATAAGAGCTTCCTGAGCTGCATTTATATTTGGCGCCTCACTGGGAGGCTCATGTTTACTGCCCCCTAAAAGCCCGCGTTTGTTTGTCTCCTTTTTCTTCCGAGCCTGCTCATGCACCGTTAGTTCCTGCTGTAGTTGGGAGACACGCGACTCTAACTGCTTGTTGCGAAACCCTAGTGAGTCGACTTCTTGCTCTGTCCGCCTCAGCGCTGTGGCGCTCTGTTGCAGTTGCTCACGAAGACTTGCCTCCTTTGCCTGCTCATCTAGCACCGCCTTCTTCAATACTTGCGCTTGTGCACGCAGCTTTGAGCATGGGCGGATGTGGATTAAATTAGATTAAAGCGCTTGCGAATGGGGCGTAAACTGTTGCTAGTTACCTTTGAGTATTCACTCGCCAGTTTTTGATACTTGGCCTCCGGCACTGTGGCATCCATGCTGGTCATTTTTTCTGCCATGTAGGCAGGTGAAACGCCAACTTGTGCACTCTGCACAAATAAAGATTTAATTGTTTAAACAAATAGAACTATTTTTGCGCTTAGAAAGTGCCAAAACTGCAATTTTAGTTATGGCAAAGCGACCTATTCATCGAATTGCAGTGATTTCCTAAATATATCGATTAAAAAGAGGCGCCAAGAAATTTTGTAACTTCGAATTTTTAAAGTGAGTCTATATCAAAAGTAGATCTGTAGGAGACTAAAATTGTTCAATTAATATTTTAAAATACCTGGATATTTTCCCTTTATTAATTTTAAAAACAAATATATATTTGTATTGTTTGTTATCGATAGCCCTTGGCATTCTTATAAGAAAAATCCTATCGAAGCTTACCGCCATTAATTCAAACAATATATTTCGAAATCAATAAACCGTTTTCTATAATTTATTAACTAATTCATAAAATACATAACTTATATACTTCAACATCGAACATTAGCATTAACTTAAAAATATATGATCGAATGGAACTTTTTCGAAAATTTTGTTTGACAGCTCTTTAAAAACCAGACCAAAACTTTTGGAGTAGCCAACCTTCAGTTCAGTAAATACCGTCTCCCAGTTCTCGTTTAGGAAACGATTCATGCCTTCAGACAGAGTTTTATCATTGAAAAGGTTCTCAAATTGCAAGTATACACGTTTGGGTTCCATGTTAACGCGGTACTCCTTAAGTCGCATATATTTCACACCATCCTTTTCGAAGGGTTCTCCAATCAGACGATGTTCAATCTTTGTATTCACAAGAGTTATGTTGGAGTTACCATGCCCTGTAATAGGCAGTAACAAAATGCGACCAGACATTTCGTAATCACCTATCATTTCAATGCGGTCTGTTTTGCTATCACAGATTATTAGATGCTTATCCAAATCGGTTCTGTTAAGACAGAAGAAGAAGAATATGATTTACAACATATTTCATAATTTGTTTGGAATTTTATCGCGATTCCGTTAATTACCTATATCGTTGAATCTTACTAGTCGAAATCATATCATGCACCTTCACATTTTTCAAGGTTTGACGAAGATTTATGGGTGCGTTACCGGCGTCTATAACAAGTTTCTTCACGGACAGCGGCTCTAGTGGCGGAATGCCGAATTCTTTGTTGCCTGTAGATAGTTTAATTAATTAAGTATCCAAGTAGCATAAAAATAGTTTCATTGTATTGTAATGTACTTTCTGTTTGGAGTTAATACTTACCACTTTTAAGCAATTGAATCGCATGATTCACAGCATCCACAAGACACTTGTCGAAGTTTGCATCGCGCTTACATTTCAGGAAGTTTTCGGCTACAATAAAAATATAAAATACATAAATACATATTAAAATTAATAGGTTTGATCATGACATTGAAAACAACTCGAGGAAGTCCCGCGTCAAAATGTGTAATTGTGCCAACATTAAATCGAAGATCAGTAAGTACTTCAGCTAGAGTTCGTTGGCCACAAAACGAGTTCCACACAAAGCCTTAAGCGAAGCAACAAAATAACAAATGAGACTTATATTCGTGGGTCTCAAGGTCAAGTCGCAGCGCAAGGCAATGTATTTATCTTCGAGATGTGGCTAAATAACAAAGCCACTCATGACCTACGGCAACATAGCCATAGCCACCACCACTGCTTGTGCATAATCATTTTGGAAAATATGTGTCATCGCAAGCGGAAGTGGTCCACTGACTGAGTGCAAACCCGTTTGCTGATATCGATATGCTAACCAGTTTCGATTACATAACATTTCCACTGGCGCTTATCGATGCAGTTGCAGTGCACTGTAAGTCGATGGCTCTCTGAGCTTGGAAGCTCAGCTTGTCCTCCCATAGTGARCCATTAGAAAATATTACAGCGACCTTCGGGCCGTTAGCCAAAATGTTGCCACAAATAAACTTACCACCTATAAACAATATTGATCACGTTTTGGCCATAAACAGCGTTGGTGGCCCAGAGGCCACAGCCAAAAGCAACCGAAGCAAATGCTCAATATGTAAATAATAAAAATATAGCTAGCGAAATCACAAAGCTGCGAGCAATTTGCACTTGCTGCTGCTGTGAGAGCTGCAATAAAATTACTTACGCAAATCTTGCGCGACCGTTACACATTTAGCGGTCTCCTGCGCAACCAGAGCGATTAGCAGTAGCAATATAAGTGACGATTGCTTTGACATGATGACGCTCGAAATCGGATGCTATATGCGAAATCTATTGCCAATATGGACTGTGCCCAATTGCAGATTTTAATTCCAGCACGCACAGTCGCCGATACACAAACACGAACACACACGCACAAGCGCACGACAAATGTTTCGACTGCTGTTG